ACCCGACCTGACCCTGACCACAACCCCGACCACAACCTCGACCTCGACCTCGACCTCGATCCCAACTTTAAATCGAACCCTAAACATTTAAATTTAATTCTCAAATCACTTTCTTATCCTCCCTCTATTCCAACACAATCTTCTTAACTCTAGAGTTCAAATTGTTAATCATCCAACTGACTCCTCCAAATTAAACTCCTAATATCATATAACATTAATATATATACATATATAAATGTTTATACATATAAATATTTTTATATACATATTTTTATACACATATATACATACACACAAACATACATATATATCCATGCACATATATATATATGAATATTTATACATATATATGTATGTATATTTATGTCTATACATATATATACGTATATATATAAATATATAAAATACGTGTAGTTAAATATATATATACATATATATATGTTTTTCAGGATCCAAATTTCTATTTGTATATATCAAAAATGGTTAGACCCTAAATCCCAGACTCCAAACCCTAAATCCCAAATTCCAAACCCTAAATTCAATCTGGATCAAATATGATATCTTGATCGCTTCACGATGTGTCCCTTTATTATTCTATCATATCTTAAGAAATAATTGGACAAATGTACTACAACATTAACCATTTTCAAGTAAAATTTATAAAAAAATAAATAACGTTGGTTACGGATACTTGCCGACACATTGCTATCCACAGTATAATTCAAATTATGTTTTTGAACAAAGTATGATGTACGTACAAACACAGAGATACGGTGGATAATTTCCTAACCAAATGGATCTAATCCAACTGAAGGTAAGTACTTAGCAGTGACAAAGAATTGAAATACCACAAGGGACAAACCATGTTCTTACAGGGCTGGTGCCTGGTCGATTGGTAGATGGGCATGGATAGGTTTTACAAACGACACACGGCATCTAAGCGTCCACGTATGCCCTGCCTGCTTCAGCTTCAGCCTTCACCGTCTCTCCCTGCGGCTCTCTCTATATCTTTCCTTATCCTTCCGCTCATCTCTCGGCACTCTCCTATCCCCAACTTCCCTCACTGCTCTTCTCCTCTCTTTATCCCTCCAGTCATCTTCCCTCTCTCTTACCTCTTCACCATCTCCTTCCTCTGTGCTTCTTCTTCTTCTTCTGTCTTCACCCGCTCTGCTGCTTCTCTCTCCCCTCTCCCTATGTTTCCCATCATCGTGTCTCTCCTTGTCTTGATGCTCTCCTCTACTTCTTCCACCGTATCTATCTGTCATCTTCTTGTCTCTTTCATCTCCATATCTTCTTTTACCATCCTCAGTATTATAAGGACTTCTCCTGCGACTTTTCTCTCTCCTGTCCCTGTCATCTTCGTCATGGCCATGGCGTCTCTTCTCCCTCTTACGACTTTCGGGGACATCACCGTCAAAAACCATATCATAGTCTTCACCTCCACCATGCTGTCTATTTTCATCTTTTTGAACGTACTTTGAAGACTGATTACCAGCCCAATTACAATCTTTTGCAATGTGATCTGTGGAGCCACACTTGAAACAACCTTTTTCTGTAAGAATTTTTCATAGAAATATTGATTTAGATTTTGTAAAAAAAAAATCTTCAAGGATATGTAAAGCATGGAAGGATGCAAGGAATTCTTTAGCACCAATGTGAGCAAACAATTACTTTTGGTCTATTTCCAAAAAAAAAAAAGTCACTACTTACCACACTCTTTAGAGATGAAAAAAGTCATTACCTTTACCCTCCTTCCCAAAGTCTTTATGTCGGGATTGCGACCACAGTTTGGCCACACTTTGACTGAAGTCCACATGAATTCTTCTATCATCAATCAGAGCATTGTCCATCTATACATCAAAAAGCCGGTTAACATATTCCCTTCAATCGTCTCTACTTCTTACGGTAAACACTCAGCTAATGCACCTCGAATGTTTACCTTAAAGTACGCTTGCTCACATGCCTCCTTGGTCTCAAACTCTGGAACAAAGACAGTTCCTTAAATATGCATTATATAAGAGTGTACATTATACAGCAGAAGGGGAATTCTACTCACCGATAAAGGCGTAACACAAGCTGTCACCTGTCTTGTAATCACGAATTACCTCAGCCCTGCAATATTCAGGCATAAAGACAACTATGGCTTAAGAAGATTTAAGTCAACAAATCCAAAAGGGTAAAACTGTAGAAGTCGAAAAGCCGAAAAGGAATATCTCACGATATGACAGTTCCAAAACGTGAAAAAATGGTGTGGAGATCCTCATCCTGCATCAAGAGAGAGAGAGAGAGATAATCAGAAATATAACCAAATACAAGAAACTATCACTTTTAATTCCATTTCTCAGACTCTAAATAATTTCGAGATGAAAACTATCATAGGAAACCATTTTCGAGGTCCATATAAAAACACCATATCATAAATAACCATTGAAGGCCGTAAACTATACTTTCTGTCCAATAAAAAATTCATGGGGTTAGCGATATGTTCTTGAGCGTTCATATCTGATATTTTCTTTTCCCCAATTTCAGTTTTTAGGGATTTTTTTTCTGGACGTTAATAACAGCTCTAAACTAATATCAAGGGCCTACCTCGGTCACAGGATTCAGTTTACAGACGAAAAGCACGTTATCAGGAGGCTTTATCTCAGCTGCTGGAATATCCCCGATCTGCATCGATAGTGGAATTGCAAGAGAGTTTTAACTTGCTAAGAAAATTTGATATATTGAAAAATAGCTGAACCCATGATACTTACAGTTTCAAGTACAACAGCACTAGAATGTGCAGCTTTCTCACGAAGAACCTCCTCAAGCTCCTGAGGACCTAGTTGTTCGTCCATTGGAACCCAATCATCTTCAAGCCGTACATCATCCTCAACCTATCAAAACAGAAAGAAGAAAACTTTAGCCATTGATTATCCATGACTCTTTTCAGTTAACAGATTAAACCGGTGGAAGTATTTATTAGTAGCCACCTCTTCCTTTGGTTTTCCTTCAGGAGAAGCATCAGGTATCAACTCAGCAAGTTGCGGGGGATCATCAAAAGGGTCTTCCAGTATATAAGTGTGTTTAATTCTTCAAAGTACCAACCATAAAGATTACCAACAGAAAAAAAAATATTAGCTATAATGAAATACAAAAGATGGACAAGCATCACATTGCCACATCCGTAGAAAAGAGTACCTAACATTTTTATATGGTTTGTTTTTCGTATCGACAAAAGCTTCATTTATCCTAGTCAAAGTGTCGAACCCCTCAGCAACTTCACCAAAAACCTGAAAACGCAGTATGTTCATACAAAACCTAGTATTAACTGTCAAGACTGAGTTGGCTACTTACAGTGTGCTTTCCATCAAGATAGTCCAGATCATCACGTAGTGTGATATAGAACTGAAAAGGAGAAATAAAAGTTATAATGAGAATATGCTAACTTGAGAGAGATCATCTACAAGCACAACGGAAGCTAATTATTGGCAGTGAACCTCGTGATGATGTAAGTTCCACATGAGAATTCACATGGAAAATATGTTCTTCATATATTGTGGTAAGAAGACTTCATATACCTGGGAAGCATTGAGATTCTCTCCAGCACTGGCCATAGCAACTGTACCAGTCTTTGAATGTTTTAAATCGAGATGAATCTCATCACCAAAAAAACGAGCCTGCTCACCATACAAAAATCTGGAAAAGGGACAGGCCGAGAAAGGGGCATGTGATAAGGTAAGAATGTCTATTAGCTTAACTAAAGGATGGTAAATAGCACAGTAACCATGCAGAAACAGAAACTGAAGCTGGCGTTGAAAGCAAAAATATAGTGAACAACACTCACTCTACATATACCATCTTAAGGTATAATGCTATTGTCTTACTTGTAAACTGAGTCTCCACCAGCTCCCGTTCCAGTTGGATCACCCGTCTGTGCAGTAAAATCCTTTTGTACAGTGTGAAACAGACACCCATTATAGTATTTGATCCTACGCGAATTGAACCCCCCGAACCAACGATTACCGACAACTTGAATACTCAGAAAACTCATGGTTAAGGGACATAAATAGAGAAACACTCACTTGCAGAGCTTGAGGAAGTTCTTGCAGGTTAAGGGGCATCTCTCCGTGTACAAATCCATCACAATGTCCCCGAGACTCGTGACGATGAGAACTGACATACCGTTGTGCTACTTTACCTAGACGAACATGAAACCAGATATCATGATGAAAAGATCACCAGAAGTTCATTGCTTATGCAAAGATAATAAACTAGATAGAACAATTATAACAAAGCTGCCCATCCATCCTACCCCACACAAGTAATGCAATCCACAAAGGAACAGATTTAAGCGAAAACGTAACACTTTTGAAGACATCACGAGAAGGTTGCGTTGGGCAAGGTGAGACTAATAAACCCATGAAAGGAAACCAAATACAAAGTTGTAGAATTCAAAATCGAGACAAGCGACCAGTGATCAGAAGAAACGATCCCAGAAACACCACAAGTCATTCCCATAATCCAACAGAGGTAAAAGACGATGCCTAAGTACCTAAAAGTAACAACTTTCCAGACAGCGGCCAGAGAAGGAGGGGTCAAGAAAGGTCGGGAGTGACAAGAAAACCAGAGCGGTATAGGTCATTGTAAGGTAGGGGTGGGCACGGGCGGGCACCCGGACGTTTTAGGGTATCCTTATCTCGGTCTCGGTCTCATCGGGTTTTTTATCAGAATATCTCGATCTCTATCTCACAAAACCCGGATCTCCGTGTCACGAGACCGGGTACCCATGAGACCCAAGTCCGAGCATAATTAGAATTCATAACATGAACAGATGAGTAATACTACATAACCATAAGCTAATACAATCCAAAATACATCATATTTCCAAACACTTCCGCCAAACATCATCATCCAAAAAATCCATAACTAAATAAATTCCAAAACATAAAATCCACAAGTTCAACAACATCAAAACATATCCAAAATGTATCAAGTGAGCGAAACTGCAACTGCAACCCCAAAAGATACAGGCTAAGACTGCATAAACAGAACAATGCACCTTAACATTACTCCATAAAGTTCCTCCTTTATCCCTGGGATATGTCCGGTTCCAATTCCTACTGTAGCTTAAAATTACAATTCCAACCCTAAAAGCTCGTGATTTTAATGCCCAGAGCTCGAGAAGAATTCAACCAGGAACATTGATCAAGTTCCTACAGAGATGATTCATCCTTTCACTTGTGGCTAATCAATTTTATAACCGCAGTGTCGGAGATTGAAGGATTTCTCCAACCTTCCCTTCCACCGGTACAGAAAAGCAAGCAAAACAAGGATATACACAGAAGCTGCAACCAGACAAATCACAGAGAGAGAGAGAGTAAGGCGGAGACAAGCTCGGTCGAACAAGTCTAAAAAATTACCGCGACGACGGAGATAATTTGACAGTATGAAAGGGAGAGCAAGGCGGAGAGAAGCTCGGAGAGAAGCACGGCGGATTCCGAGCTAAGGGTAAGCGAAGATGAGACTGAACGGCGTCGATAGAGGAGGCCGAAATTGAAAATGACATTAGGGTTAGAGTGAATTAGGGTTCTTACTTATTAGGAAAGGGGTATTTTGGTAAGTGTCAATTAAGGGTATTTTTATAATTTCATTAATACACGGGATAACCTGTCGTCAAATACCATGACCCGAATTCGAACCATCCGTGCATAAACAGAGATAAATATTTCAGACTCAGCAGCAAAATCAGAGAATATCTTATTGAAATCTTTCCATGCAATGTCATCGGATGGATGTTGCGTATCTTCTGTCGAGCTCGAATGATTTGCATGTCATCTCATATGTGATGTTATTTTCTCAGATTTATATAACCTTCTCAATCTATACGACACAGGCAAATAGAACATCTTCTTATATGGCACTTTTCTACGAGATCTTTCCTTACTCTGTCGATATCTATTCGCTCCACAAAATTTACACTGCATCAACTCTTTATCAGTATCCCAAAAAAGCATGCAACTGTTTCTGCAGACATCAATCTTTTCATGAGGCATTCCCAAATCATTCAAGATTGCTTTTGTATCATAATATGATTGCGGAGCTTGATTGTTTTCAGGTAAATTCTCACGCAATGTCTTGCAAAACGAATCCATGCAATTCTCAGTAACATTATAATATGTTTTCATGCTCATCAATATTGATGCTAATGATAATCGAGACTGATCTTGTTTGCATTATTCATAAATAGGATGATTTGCCATCGTGAGCATGTCGAAAACTCTTTTTGCATCATTATTCGACTCTTCTTCTTCTTGTTGAACTTGCTCAAATACCTCCGGAAAAGCATCTGTCACCATTTGAGCATACGGATTTCTTGTTTCAAAATCAAAAGATTGATTTTCTCTAGTTGCTTCTATCTCCTCTGTCTGTATCCATACAATAGTATTCGTCATTGTCCTGACTTCTTCTCCATGCATATGTCATACGTAGTAATCATCCATAAAACCCCTTCGATATAGATGTTTGCAGACCATTTCTTGGCTTAGAAATTTTAAATTTCTACAACCTTTACATGAACATTGCAATTTTTCACGCTCTTGACATAAAGGTTACATTGAAGCAAAACTCATAAATTGCTCCAAACCGGCACAGAACTCCGGTGTAACTTCTTTTGTTGTTGGTGATGGATGTGATGCTCTAGGATGATCATACGATATGAGAACTATGTATGATACGATGTATTTATTGGATGAATGCATTGTTTGTTCATTATTTATTTTGCATTTTTGATAAATAATGAAATCCATGGATCGTTATGAACGATCCTAAATTCTTTAGTCGCTTGTCATTGTGTGAGCAATGATGAATTAAGACTAACATGAGACGTGATGGATGATCATGGTGATGATCATGTGTATTAGATACAGATCACGGTCATGAGTGCTTGTTTGGAACAAGTGACTGGATGACTCGCGTGAGATTGTCGATTGGATTTAATCCATGACTTGAATCTCACTTGATGGTTCACTTTGGATCCTCAGACCTGAGATATCTATTGTATCCATCATGACGAGTAATGTACTTTGACTGCGTCAAACGTCGTCTTTAACCGGATGATTATAAAGGCGTGGCTCGGGTACATTACGAATCATGTAGTGGATAGTAGATAGTCAAGATGGAACTTTGTCCCTCTCGAAAGAGAGAGATCCGTCGTAGGAATGAGACTGTAGAAATGTGTGGCCGCACTATAGATGAATGTCATCTATCTCTTACAGTCTACTCGGGATATGACAAAGCATTCGAACTATGAGTTCGATTATGATATCGTGAGACAAAAAGGATCATCGTTGGAGCTATCTATGGCTTTTGGTTAGATCACATCTAACTCTTTCCGATACGGGTAATCATAATGTCTTGCTAGAGACCGCTTATGATTTGTAAAGCGAGATTGGATCTCGCGTTTATTGCCGTATTTGGAGGAGCCTAAAGTGTCACACACATATGGGATGGACGTGTATG